CGGGCCCCACCCTGGTGGCCGTGACCCCCTACCAGCTGCTGCCCATCTACTCGCCCGAGCACATCCGCCAGTACACCAACAAGAAGATCGGGGAGATGCCCCCCCACATCTTCGCCATCGCCGACAACTGCTACTTCAACATGAAGCGCAACAGCCGAGACCAGTGCTGCATCATCAGGTGGGCGCGGCATGGGCCCTGCGGACACCGCTCGGACTTGCCTGCATTGCCGGGCTCGCCCCAGAGCACCTTAGGGACCCCAGGCCTGATGCACTTATACTCTGTCACTGCTGCCGAAGCTCCTTGTAGCTTTTGAGACCAACCTCCTTTACTGCTGGCTCTTCTAAGTTACGTCTGCGGAAATCTCAGGCTCTCGCTCTCTCTTGGAGAGAGGGTAAAGGGGCGGGGCTTTAACTGAGCATCTAATATGTACCTTGTTCTCTGCCCAGTATGGGTAGCCATTTGGGGGGTCTGAACTGAGAGGACGGAGGGTATGCTCCGGGTGTGGCAGAGCACCGAGCTCCTTCGGCCCTTCCCCAGCCCTGGAAGGTGTGGATTGTTAGCCTACATTGCAGATAGGGGAGCTGAGGGCAGCCTGGATGAGTCTGGGGAAGGCTGATGGGCCTGCATCCCTGCCCGTGCAGTGGGGAGTCCGGGGCAGGGAAGACGGAGAGCACGAAGCTGATCTTGCAGTTCCTGGCGGCCATCAGTGGCCAGCACTCCTGGATCGAGCAGCAGGTGCTGGAGGCCACGCCCATCCTGGAAGGTAGGCCAAGGCTCTGGGGGGATAGGGCCGGACTCTGCAGGCGGGCCTGGGCGGAGCTGGGCCGGCCTGGGCGGAGCTGGGTGAGGCTGGGTGGGGTTCTGGGGGGATGAGGATGGAGCCTTTGGGGGGTGGTGCTGGGCAGGGCCGGGCTGGGGAGGCGGGGCTGGTGGCATCATGACAGCTCCCCTCCCTGCAGCATTTGGGAACGCCAAGACTATCCGTAATGACAACTCTAGCCGCTTTGGGAAGTACATCGACATCCACTTCAACAAGCGAGGTGCCATCGAGGGTGCCAGGATAGAGCAGTACCTGCTGGAGAAGTCTCGAGTGTGCCGCCAGGTAGGCCAGAGCCCGAAGGATGCAGGAGTAGATGGACCTTCCCTGGGGCAGCCCTGCACCTGCACCTGGGTGGCCCTGCCTGGGTGGTGTTCAGTTATCACTGTCTTTAGAGCCCTAGTTGGTCCTCACCCCCTGCACCGCCGCCCCCTCACTAGCCTCTCACTAGCCCCTCACTAGCTCCGCGGCCGGCCTCTGTGCCTGGACCCACTGGGAAAGCCATTGCTGAAAAGAGTAGACTGTTAGTGTCAGCCTCCTGTTCCCTCTTGCCCTCCCAGCCCACCCCCTCCTTGCCCCCTCCTGCATCCTGACCCCACGTGCCCACGTTTCCAGGCCCCGGATGAAAGGAACTACCACGTGTTCTACTGCATGCTGGCGGGCATGGGTGAGGACCAGAAGAAGAAGCTGGGCCTGGGCCAGGCCTCCGACTACAACTATCTGGCCATGGTGGGCCTGGGCAGGGCCTGGGGCGGGGCCTGGGGGAGGGCACCCACCCAGCCAGGCCCAGGCCAGGCAGAGCCAGGCGAGGCAGAGCCAGGCCACGCCCACTTAGCCTGGCTCAGCTCTGGGAGGTGGGACTTTCCACGAGGGCTCTCCCTGTCCCTGATCTGCCTCAGGCCACCCTGGGCTTTTTCACCACCAGGATGGTGAGCCTGGGCAGGGCCTGGGGCGGGGCCTGGGGGAGGGCACCCACCCAGCCAGGCCCAGGCCAGGCAGAGCCAGGCCAGGCAGAGCCAGGCCACGCCCACTTAGCCTGGCTCAGCTCTGGGAGGTGGGACTTTCCACGAGGGCTCTCCCTGTCCCTGATCTGCCTCAGGCCACCCTGGGCTTTTTCACCACCAGGCCTGTCCCACAGGGCACCCACCTGTTTGCACACACATCCGGGTGAATTCTCACCACACACACACACAATCGACACAAGAACACCCACAGGCCCCCACAAATGGGCCTGCCCACACACAGCCATTGTGTCAATTGAGTCTATGGGGACATGGAGCCTGAGACCTCTGCCAGGCTCCTGGGGTTGTTGGGATCCAGTCACCAGGGCTGTTTCAGTGGTGCCAGTCTCTGTGGCTATCCGGGCACCAGAGTGGTGGGCATGGGGCCATTGCAGTCACCCAGCGTAGGCCGGGCGTCTCAGAGCCGCACACACAAGCTGCCTTGGGGGGCACTCCTTCCACAGCCTGGGGGCCTGTGTCTGGTTGCCTGGGCGGGCCAGGCCACATGGCTTGGCCACAGGCATGGACCGTGCCACTGAGGGGTCTGCTGTGAGTGTGACCGGCCTCCTTGAACATTTCCTGCTGCCGCAGGCACACTCGGACACGCACAGGCTCCTGGGCACACCAGAATGGGGCAGCCCCCCGGCAGTGTCCTGTGCCAGTCCCCACCTGCCTGCAGTGACCCCTGCACTGTCCACACAGGGCCCTACCTGCCGAGAGGCCCAGCCCTGAGAGGGGTACTTAGGGCCTTAAGGGGGGCATGAGGAGGCTTCGGTGCTGTGACCAGCAGGCAGGAGACCACGCCTGGCGTCAGGTTCCGACCCAGTTCATCCTCGCGGGAATAAGTAGATGTAGGAAATGAGTCCAGGCAGGAGCTCTCTAGGCCTTCTGGGCAAGTCTGGGGCTCACATGCAAGGCTGTATTCGGAGCTGCAGACTTGGCCCGGCCTGGCCTGATGGAAGGGGCCTATGGTCCAGGCCCTGCCTCTGCCGGGTGCCAGGGCCTCCCTGCCCTCCTGCTGCCACTCTCCCACCTGCCATCAGGGCAACTGCATAACCTGCGAGGGCCGGGAGGACAGCCAGGAGTACGCCAACATCCGCTCCGCCATGAAGGTGCTGATGTTCACCGACACCGAGAACTGGGAGATCTCCAAGCTTCTGGCCGCCATCCTGCACATGGGCAACCTGCAGTACGAGGGTGAGCCCGCTCTGCATGCCCCGCCTGCCCCGCTGTGCCGCCCAGTGCCCTGCGCACCAAGGGCCGGACACCGAGCCCTCCTGGGCACTGGCGGTGCAGTTTGCAGCCTAGCATGTGGCCCCGTGGGTGAGAGTGGGTGGAGCTCACCTGCCGGTAGATCTGAAGTCTGCAAGCTTGAAGTCTGCCTCAAGAGCGGCGTCACTGCGCCAGGGTTCTGTCACAGAGACCTACAGATACGTGCAAGTTGACCAGGTGCCCTTCGAGGCCCCTCCAAACTTGTTTTCTCCTTTAAGAAGATTTAAAATGTCTCAGATGAAGGGCAAGTTTTCCAACTATTCATGCTAAGATGTGAGTGACCGATAGCCACTTTTGGAAAGAGAGAGATGTCAGTCTCCCAGCATCCCTTGGGCACCTGTGTGCCAGGCTGGGAGGTAGTCCCTGAAGCGGGTGCCACGTCCCTCTCTGCTCTTACCTCTGGTGCTCAGCGGGGCCCCTGGGCACAGTGGGAATCTGGAAAAGTCGCTTGGTCATGGGTGATTCCAGCACCATGAGACAGTCTAGTCGGCCTCAAGACCGAGATGCAGAGGAGGTTGCACCAGGCAGCGGAAGGGAGGGCAGTGCAGAGGTCTCGGGGCTGGGGCAAGCAGGGCCGCCTCATAGGTTCCATCATAGGAACCAGGGCTGCTGCTGAGAGCTCGCATCCAGGCTGGAGCTGAGGGGCAGATGCAGCCACCAGTGTGTGCTACTCGATGGCAGGCATAGTGCCAGGAGCTGGGAAT